TGGCAAAGTGGCATAAGAATGACGCAGATTGGGTCGCGACCGGTCGTCGGTACCATGTCTTGATGGAAGGGGGCGAGAGATGAGGCTGCAAGGGGTTGTTTGGGACGGCGGTCGCTGAGGGCTTGACCGGTGGAACATCCTAGCGAGGTGGGTATACTAGACTACTACAACTGTAGATTTGCAAAGTAACGGGATGGAAGGGGATGAGGTGGTTCGGGGGGAAAGGAGGAGCCAGCGGTCAAATACAAAATTTCCCCGCGCCTAGTCCAAACTAGACCGCCCACTATTTTTAAGGTCACACACATGCCTATTATGTACGCGTGAATAACACACCCACGCCAAGACATGAGAAAAACACACCCACACAATAGGCGAATCAAAAATGTAACCCACACGCCGAATTGATAGGCACTCGATGCGGGGCCTTTCCATGCTAAACCAGTAGGCGTATCAACTTACAAGATTAAACACCTATTGGCATGACTCTATATCATGCCATCATATATTCGTTATAACGTCAGGCAAATATGACGGTACAATATTACCGGCGGTGGCCCACTGGCCGGAAAACTCGACACTGGGCCGACCTCAAGGCCCAGGACACCTAGCGGCAACTCGATTACAGCACACGAACTAGGGGGTGGTTTGAAGATGAAGTGTGAAGTTGGCGTGCAAGGCAAGAAGCCCTCGTGAATAGGTTGGTTAGGATCGGTGTAAATCCTAGCCCTCGTCCCCTTTATAATGTGAGGGTAGGGGCAGTTCGAGGCATATGTCCCACTATACACAGACCATGGTAGTAATCATCATCTTGCACATGTAACCCCTCGCACGAGGAGTACGGTATTACCTTGACAACAAGGGCCTAAACCTGGGTAAAAACCCCGTGCGAACTCCCCTCTGGTACTTCCAGCTATGCTCTCCAACCTACCGAGGACACTAAACATTTCCGCACTGGCAGTTGGCTTGCCAGTTAGTATATCTATCTATGCTTCATTCTTCTGAAGGTGGGAAAAAAGTTCAAACTGATTATTGCATCGTCCGCAGACCGAGTCTAGGTCGGATCTTCCATCACGAATGGCAGCTTTGCGCCAGGCAAGAGCTTCACATTTGGCTCTTTCACCTTTGTTGACAAGACAACTCGACGTGAATGCACTACCTCAAGGAAGAGGGTTTCTAGAACTTTCATGAATCTGAGCAGAAAAACCGTGAGTTCAAAAAAATGTTTTCATATTAAAACAATGTTGCTGAATTTAAACAAAAGAGCTTGTGGATTCAAAAACTACAAAAAAGTTCATCAATTCAAAACATGTCCATTGATTCAAAAAATGTTCATTAATTTCTATAAATGTTCATGAATTTCAAAACAATACCTAATTTCAAAAAGAAATTGTTATTAGAAATATGCTCGCCAATTCTAAGCTACGTTCATGAGTTTCAAAAGAAATTAAAATTTAAAAAATAGATATTTACGAATTCTAGAAATGTACATGACTAAAAACTCATGAATTTAAAAAATGTTTATAAGTTCATACAAAAATGATTATAAAAATCCAAAAATGTTAATGCTTTCAGAAAATATGTTCACGAATTTTAAAAGATGTTGAGAAAATAAAAGAAAAGAATAAAGAAAAATTAAAAATGAAAAAGCAAAGAAAATGGAAAAGAGAACACTAACATGAAGAATGAAATGAAAAAAGGAAATTGATAAAAGAATGGAAATTGAAAAAATGAAAAGAGCAGAAAAACTGCCTGGAAAATTCTGGTCTGGAGAGGTCCAAAAGGTGTTTGTTGTTGGAGCAGGGGGAGGGGGGTACGCGCTAAGGAGATGTCATGTACAGTGCCTTTTGCACACATTTGTGTAAACTGCGCTCGAGCGCACTGCTAGGTTAGTCGCATCCCATCAACGTCCTAGTCACTTTCTCGCTTGAAATTGTCTCGCTCGCAAAAAAAAAACTATCTCACTCGGTGGGAGACACATTGGAAAACTTCTAATTGACCCAAACCATTGAACGGATTACTGTTAACCAATTTCACCATTGACTTTTGAAAAACATGATCTGAAAAATGCAAAACCAAAAGAAGTTCACAAAAGTTGCAAAAGGTTCATAAATTTGAAAATATCATGAATTTGAAAAAGTTTACAAGTTTTAGAAAAAAATTGCGAGTTCAAATAAAAGTTCGCATGTTCAAGGATTTGATCATTTTTTGCAGTTTTTTAGAAAAAAAAAATCATGAAAATTTAAATAAAAAGTAAAAAATATATACGAAAAATAGAAAAAGTAAAAGAAATGAATAGAAAAAAAAGGAAAAACTGGTAGAAAACTAAATGAAAACCGGACTGGGAGCTTCCCACAACTAGACGGGGAGCTTCCAAAAACCGGACTGCACTAGGGGCATGTGGCGGGTGAGTCCGATATGATGGTCATGAGCGTCAAATCTTCGTAGCTTCGCTGAAGAGCGGGACTTGTCGCTTCCACTTGGGCCGGCCCACGATTCAGCTTCGCACCTGTTTCTTCCTTGCGATCGTTCCTTTCTTCGTTGCGGGATCTTGGGAACCTTCGTGAAGGTTCCTGGTCGGGTTTGGGAACTTTCTAGAAGGTTCCCTAGACCGGTTTTTTATGTTTTGTTTTTACTAGGTTTTATTCTATTTTCGATTTTTCTCTTCTTTTTCTTTTTCTCTGCTTATTCCTTTCTTTTCTTTTCTCTTTTCTTTTTTTACTGTTTATTTTCTCTGTTTACAGTTTTTAGTATATAAAAGGTCCACCACATATTCACCTCATATTATTAAAAAAATGTTCATCGTATATTAAGAAATTGTTCACCTTGTATTTTAAACTTGTTCATAATATATCAAGAATTTGTTCAACACATACTACGAAATGTTCATTGTGTATTTGGAAAACTTGCTCAGCGTATATCACAGAAATGTTCAATGCGTTTTTACAAATTGTTCGACGTATATTATAAAAACGTTAAATGTATATTTGAAAACTGTTCAGCCTATATAAAAAATTTGTTCATGTTTTCAATTTTTGCAAAATTCGTGTTTTAGAAGTTGTTTGAGTTTTGGTTTTTTTCACATGTAAAAAATTATTGGCTTTTTTGAAGGAAATTTGTTCACATTTTTCCAAGTGGAACTTTTTTAAAACGGGTCCGCCTCTCTAGCTATTAGTTAATAGTTTGCGCTGCATCGTGGCCAAGTAGAGATGGGAGCAACTAATTAACGAGCGCTCCTTCGGGAGCCTCGCAACGATCAGCACCACTTGACGCGCTCACAGCCATTCGCCACGTATCGCACTCTGGGCGCTACCTCTGGATTTTATTTTTTTATTTTACGCACACGTTTTCGGCTTTTTAAAAGGTTTTTTTTGGGTTTTTTTGATGTTTTGGTTTTCTACCGGTCTTTCCTATCTTTTCGACCAAAAAAAAGTTTCGAAAAAAAAAATTCTGCGGGAAAAAATGCATTTCTTTTTCGCGAGAGGCACGATTTTGCTTCCGCAAGAGGCACGGTTGTGCTTTCGCGAGAGGCACGGGCGTGCCTCTTTCGGAAAGAGAAAAAATGCGTTTTCTTTTTTTTTTCTTCTTTCACGAGAGGCACGGTTTTGCTTCCGTGATAGGCACGTTTGTGCTTTCACGAGAGGCACGGGCGTGCCTCTTTTGGAAAGGGAA